TCTTTGATGGAAAATTACATTTCTAGCCCTGATTCGCCTGGTGGACGGCAACCTTTGTCACATCTGTTTGGCAATATGAGTTGATTGTTTATAAGCCCGTTCCACCTCGAGCGGAAACAGCTCGATTTCAATTTCTATTACTTGTTTCCAACGAGAAAATCAAATGATAAATGCGACTGCGGCAGCCAGTTTTTGGGGCCAGGACGAAAAATCTTTGAGTCGTTTTTTTTTGTATTCGCAAGTACAATGTAGAGACGGCTTTAGCCAGAGCTAAATCTACTCCATACTCTTTAGCTATTTCTCGTTACGTCTGCTGCCTGTTTTCATTGTGTTGCATTGTCGCCACGGATATCCGCCATGTTGGCTGCTGCTGCTGCTGCTGCTGCTTTGTGGCACGTTCCACTGCACAACAACGGCAACAACAACAACAATGTCGTACAACTTTCATTTATGTATTTCGTGTTATTTAAATTTCCAACTTTACCTGCCCGCAGAATAAGCCATAGAAAAGCGTTGCCAACAATGCCAAAGCTGGCAAATAGCAAAAACTTGGCTCAAATGCAGCCGAGTGGCAGTTGCCAAGGGTGGGCAACGCCCCCTCCCCCCGCACACCAGTCAAGCAGACAATGTTGCAATCTGTTGAGCATATATATCTGTATATCTATATATATGTCTATATGTATATATATATATATATATATATATATTATACCTTTTTTTGGCAGCTGCATTTCCTTTGCTGCTTAACGCCTTCCTTTCTTTTACCCTGTTTTTGAAGCACGATATTTGCTTACCAAACAGGTAAAAAAAACGGTAAAAATAAAAAAAATGGAGCCTGCTTTTGGGGAGAATTTGAAGGGCGCACTTCTTTACCTGTTTACAATTCACTTTGCTGCACTTGAGAAATTACACATGCTTCGCTTTAGCCTCGCCCCCCTTTGTACCTTTTGCCCCCCCTCACTTCCCTCTTCATGTTTTTTTTTCCTTTACTTTTATTGCGCTCGAATTTCATGCTGTGTGCGAACACCGCCGGGCAGAGGAGGCAAGTAAATCGTCTGTCTTATTTGTCTACCACTACATGTTACACTCTATACACACACACACACACACACAGAGAGACACAGATACAGCAACTCACACAAACACACACACGTACTCTTTTAATAAGCGTCAGCATTAGGGTTCCCTTTTTGGCCCCTTTGCTGTTGTGCTGCTTTGTTGTTGCTGCAGTTGTTGTTGTTGTTATTGTTGTTGTTGCTGTTTGTGCTAACCAACAACAGCGACAACAACATGATTGGTATTTTCCGCTGCAGACATTTTGCATAGGTGGGCATGCCCAGACCCAGACCCCCACACTTTATTTTTCCTTTATTTTATTCCGTATTTTTTTTTTTCCTTCTTTCTCTCTTTTAATTCCAGCAGGCGGCTCTTTTATTGATTTTATGTGAGTTTTTTCTTCAAGCTCGCTTTTACTGCCATTTTTCAGGCAAATTTGAAGTAACTGAATTTGAGCTACGTGAAATAATAATATAAATATATGTGAGATGCTTTCAAGAGAGCAAGCTGGAAATTTCAACAATTTTCTTGATAAAAAATGTATTTTGATATGTCAGCTAATTTATTCATTGTATTGAATTTATATATTTCTAGTAGTTGCACTTGCTTTTAAGAACTATTTATTATTGATGACTTCAGCCTTAATAATATACCATTCCTGATTGCTGCCTTCTGATTCCTTCATAGGCAAGTTTAAGGTTTATCTGTAGTATTTATTATGGCTCAGGTAACTTATCGGCGTAGACTTAGAAAGGGCGATTCGGCTCCCATATACGAGCAGCTTTTCCCAGAAATAGGGTTCATATTTAGAGCAGAGACATCCCAAATTGAACCTCAGCAAACGAAGCTAAGACGTCCATTTGAATAATGTGCTAGTGCATAGCTAATGGCATGTCATTAGCTGCAAAGTACA